ACCACAACAGAGAACACAGTCCTTTTTTATCTAGCCAGCTGCTTGAAATCATTGTCATTTGGAAATGAGATTGCATACAAGTATGAATTGAGATCACGATTTTTTACGACTATTTGTGCAGCCCTACCTAAGGCCCATAAAAATGGCCCTGTTCCTTTATCCTAACCCTGGTTCCATCCCTTTATCCTTGCCATCTTTTTTTTTTTTTTTTTTGCTTCTTTTCTTTATCACTAAGCACAGCACATGCCAAAAACTCAAAGCACTGTTTGGGTTTCACTCAACTGTGCACATGCATCCAAAGGACTTAACTGTCTCAATGCACGTTACCCAGCACATCTCAACTCACTGGATTGATTGCCGATGGTCTCTCGGCACAACCACCTGCACTTGTACTTCCCATAAAGCCAGATTCCAGGTGTTCAAGATTGGACCTGATTTTAAGTGAGCGTACACACCTTTGGTTTGCGTACCAAACTGTGTGGAGCCATCGGGCGGCAGGGGGATTCCATTGGGAACTATCTCACAAACCTAACCCTAACCATCACCTGTGATCGGTTTCCTTGCAATGTGATTATAACAGTTGTGTGAGTTTTCATCATTAACTTTGAGACGCAATCAACAGCATACAGTGCGCATTGTTAGCATGATGAAAGACTGTAGATTTATTGAAAAATTTTGTTTTCCTAATTTGGTGCTGCGTTAGTCCTAAAAATATGGAAACACATTGATAACCCCTCTTAACGCCCTATTTATAAAATGTAAAAGTCAGTCTGAAAGGCATCAGGTTAAAAATGGAACATGAGTAAATATGCGTTATTAAACATGAATACAACACCTCTCAGTAAAGTAAAGAAACAGACGTGAGTTTTTTTTAAATGCACTTTAAACCACTTTGGTTTGACATTCTCAGACTGAAGGAATCAGAGCCATTGGTCTGGTTCAGCAAATTCGTTTTTACCCGTTAGTGTTTATTAGGGCAATAGGAAAAATTCATGAAAGTACTTATTTCACTTATTATGGGGAGGTTGATAACTGCTGCCTGGATTACTTTTTGATGATGGAAAGTGGCAAAACTGCTACGTCTAAAGAATTCTGTGGGAACACATGTGGCAAGACTGTTTAAGAAGTTTTAAGGTAAAAGTGTGAAAAACAATGTCAAATGCTCAATAAAAGTACACTTATTGCATTTTTATGTGCACATTTTGGTTATTCTTGCACCTTCCTATAAAAGGTGCAATAACAGAATTAAAACATACTTTTTGAGACTAGACTAGTTTGTTCCAGGTGTGGGATTTTCTTTTAAATATGTTTTAGTATCTAAATAAAAAAGTAAGACACAGAGGATGAGAAAGACGGGGTTTTAGGCCTTTTGAAGTTTAATTGTGTGTTTAGGGTTCAGGCTATATCCTCCACGCCTCCCACCCACACATTAACACTGATGGCTCTGAAATAACTGAGATAACTGAAAGACACCGAACACAAAATTTCAAAGTAATGTTTAACTGGTTTTCATCATCAGCAGTGAGGAATGAAACATGGAAGCAGCTTGGGTCAGACACTGGTTTGCTCTTAACTTATATTATGACTGGGTGGAACCATGAAGTGAAGAAGGGAAGAATTAGTAACAAATTAATCTGCAAGGGCCACTCATTGACAGTGACACACATGCAATACTTGAGAAGAAATTGGCTTCTTACTATATCAGCCATGGCTGTTTGGTCTGTCATAGTTTTGGTTTTATTTTGCATAGGGCAGATTCGCTCCAGTTCAGAGCGAGAAGAGCGAGAGTGGGGATGGATATCAGCCATGATTTTGAAGTTGGTAAAAGAAAAGAAAAAATACTCATTCAGTGTTTTTCTCAGCAACAAATCACAGCTGCAACACCTCTGATTTCTTGATTGCATCTATAGATCTACTTAAACAGGCCAACACAGGCTATTTTGCATTGCAGCAATAATATAGACATTACATTTAAAACCCACTTTTTTTATTTGTTTTTGTCGTACTAATGTCATGTCTAAAACCAAAACTGGGCTGTGACTCTTCCGTAGTAACATAAAAACACACTCTTATCAGAACAACCCACTCCTGCCAGGCCCTATTGTTTGTGTAGTCAGGAAAATGTGTCAGTCTGCAGAAATGGAAGATTTTAAGATTACAGGATATGACATCATGCACACAAAAGAAAAGGAATGCAGCATTGTGACCAAACAAACAAACAAATATAGTAAGAGTTCTAAAATTAGCAATTAGGAAATTCTAGATGGAAGAACTCGTTGAGTGAAGAGTGAACTTTGTGCTTTTAAAACGAGAATAGCATCTGATCCCTACAGACAGAGACAAATGTCAGCTCAAAAGACGTGCCACACCACTTGGAATGCTTGAACTGTTTGGTGTAAGTTCTCAGGAATGTTCCCTCAAGGAAAGCAGCTAATCTGTTTTGTTAGCATTAGGAACTGTTAACAGTACGATCAGGAATCTGTAGAGACATGTCCCAGAGGTGACGCCACCTCAGCTTGTATGAACACTGATACAGGTTCAGGGTTTCAGGAGTTGGAGTTAATTCATGCACTAAAGCAGAGCTGAGTACTGGGTGCGCTTCGCTATGGAGCGAAGCTCGGACGTGGTCCCCAACAGTCAGTAATTAGCTGTAGGGGCCCTCAGTGGGAACAAGGGAACTCAGTGATTTGGGCCTACAACTCGGCACATCCTCTCCTCGGTAAACATAACAGTCTGAGTGGATCAACGGAGACCACCAACAAATATGTGTGTTTCAGTGAGAGAAGGCGGACAGCGTGCAAGGGGAAAAAAAGCAACCATCCAGTGCACTTGCCCTCAGGGCATGACTGAGTTTTGAGTCAAACATAGAAGGCTTCAGATTTCATTTGCTGTGGTTGCCATGGCTTTCTATCGTGTCCTGGCACTGAAATTCTTTCATGGTTACGGCCACAAAAGCTTCCCAGATAAGCCTCCTCAATGAGGCCAGATGCATTGCAGCAAGACAGTCATGGCTAGCAGTTTGTCTTAAGATTCACAAACACCACCTCAGACAATGAGCTGAGCTTTCAGGGCAAGAGCAGTTTCACCTGATACTCAGGGCAGCTGCTGGTTGGGATTGTGTGAAGCAGCCAGTGGCATGGAGAGAGCTAATTGGACAAGGCATGCACACTAAAGAGCATTGTTGCTGAAGGAAAGCTGTGCTCTCTCGCTTCATTGTGAGTGCACACAGAATGAAATTAAAGGCCTAGTCTTTCTTAAAAGCAGCTTCAATATCAGAGTTTTAAACTGGAATAATTTGAAGGAATGATGGAATTATTGCTGTTTTGGTCAAACCTTGAAAATGATGTTGTGCACAATCACGTAAAACATCTTTTGAATGATTAACGTACCCTAACACAAAACTGCAGCTCAGTATTAGTAAGACTGACAAGGTGTCAGCCAAAGGGTCAGTTTGCATGAATTGGGTTGATTCAAAAAGTTAATCAGTTGTAGAGGCATGTGGAACGATTACTCTCCGAGAGTTTTATTAGAATTCATTATGAAGCATTAATTCCTCTAATAATCAGATTATGCACCTATAGACTTTTTTTTACTCTTTTGCGTGAAAAGAAGGAATTTTTACACCAAACTGCGAAGGTTGGTGTCAAAACATGAACTTGAAATGGTTATCCATGATCGTGCCTTTATCTCCTCCCATCTAGATTACTGTAACACACGCTTCACGTGTTTTAGGCCGCCTTCAGTTGGTACAGAACTCTGCAGCGAGGCTCCTAACTGGAGCAAACAGAAAAGCACACATCACTCCTATTCTAATGTCTCTGCACTGGTTACCCGTTAACTTTAGAGTTCATTTTAGAATCCTGACTATAACTTTCAGGGCTCTACATGGTCAAGCTCCTCCCTTTATTGCTGAACTGTTAAAGCCTTATGCTCCAACCCGAGCCCTCAGGTCCACACACCAGAACCTTCTAGAAGTTCCAAAGAGCAGATATAAAAGTCGAAGTGATCGCTCCTTCCAGACTGTTGCACCCTGACTTTGGAATGATCTTCCTTTATCCTTACGCAGCATCGACAGTCTGGACACTTTAAAAAACAGCTAAAGACCCTTTTATTTAACGCTGCTTTTACCTAAACCTTTTATTTTCTTATTTTTAACTCAATTTTTTTATCTTTCATCTGTTTATGAAATGTTATAATTTTATGACTTTCTTTTTCTGCTGTTTTGAGACATTATGATTTTATGAGTTTGTTTTATTTTGTTTTGATCTATGTGAAGCACTTTCTGATTCTATATATCTGTGATAAGTGCTATATAAATAAAATTTACTTACTACTTACTTATATCGGAAAGAAAAAATGCTCCAACATTAGAAGAGACGGGGCAATGTGCACTTTAGGGACTCAAACAAGTTGTCTGGGTCACCGTCTGCCCACAAAGTGCACACAGCATGAATGTTTAATGTTCTAGTTTTTCTAGTCACACTCGTGGCCTGTTTTCAGCATTCCAAACTCAGCTGGATACAGGCCAAACAACTCCTGCAATGTTCTGACGTGTGCACACAAGACAACATACCTCATGAGCTTCGAAGTCACCTCGTTTAACATTAACTTCTCAAAGCATCAAGGAGATTTTCACTCAAGACACCCTGCACAGCCCATCTGCACACACCATACAGTAATGTCCACATGTGACTGGAGTCAGAGACTGGTCTGACCAGCAGTAATGATGTGGTGCAATAAAAGGCCTTGGAACTCAACATGGGGCCCCTGTTCCATTGTCTCTGTGAGCTCTGCTTCCTCAGGTTCCTGTTTGCACGTCCCCTCCCTGTGAGCTCACACTGTGTCAGCTCACTAAAGGCAGAAACTTTCAGAGCTAAAAGGGTTCAGAGCTGTTCTTTTTAATGGATAGCTAAGATGACGTAAAGACAACCAACCACCCTGAACGCTCCTGAATGTGTACGGCTGTGGAAAGAGTGTGGGGTTTGTAGTTTCATACTCACTCTTAGGGTGTGGATCACTACATCCTGAGCTTCCAGTTCTCCCTCCAGAATACTCAGGAGAGACAGCAGCTCTGCTCTGCTTAGAGCCTCCACATTCATCTTCTCTACCTGAAGCAAGAAAGACAGGAAATGTGTAATAAATCCAACAAAGAGGACAATAAATCAGTGTGAGGTTTAGAAATGTATGTGTGTGTGGCATGCATGAGTATTTGCTGACATTAGTGGAGAAGTAATTTACAATGGGACTCGGGTCCCATCTGTGGTCTCAGTGGGTCATAAACAGGAAGCTATTAGCATATTTGCACATTTGGAACTGAAGACTGGGACTTCATTCAGTTCCTCCACATCCCACGACAGTTAGACACATTTCATTTGTTTAAAGGGATACTATGCAACTTTTTCATATTTTTAAATCATTTTCTTGAGCCAATATGTGCTGAAATTACTCTTTACAGGGTTGATGAAATGTCACTCAGACCCCCACCGCCCCATGTGGCAAGAATACCGCCCTTGCAACTTCAGAGTTGCCGGTCCAGTCCCTGTTGGTGGGGGGAGCTGTAGAGTGGAGCAGACATAGTGGAGCTAGAGTATGTATGTTCTAGAGCATGAACACAGCTTATTTGTTTGACTTAGCGATGAGCCGCAGCTGTAGAAGCTAATGAAAGCTGGGGAGACAGATTAAGATGTTAGGAAGACAAACTCACAGCAAGGTTTCATTATCAGTTTAACCACAGTGAATTATTAATGGACACTAGGGGGTGCTAAAAGCATGCAACACTGCCTAGTATCCCTTTAAAACTTTTTTTAACATCTTAGTCATTCTGCACCTAATCTGCTTCACCCTGTGATTCATCACTGCTGTTTCTGTGCGATCACACAGACCAGACAGTACACACTTGCTGACCTCATCAGTAAAAACTGGAAGAAAATACAAAAGAAGCACCCCAAAGTTCTTCTTTTTAAACATTAAATCCACTCCTTTGAATGTTTGCTACCTTGAGGTATATTTATGTGTTTGAAGAGGTACGTGTGAGTTGTGTGATAACAGAAGCTCAATAATAATCCCACAAAACAGTTTAATAAAGTTACTCAGGTGCCGGATCAAGTCACATGGCAGAACATTTTCTCCAAAATGTTGCTCAACTCACTGAGGGTGATGAAAATTGTTCTCCAGGTGGGTCAAGTATCTGAAATGGTCTGATTTAGGCTAAATCAGGTGCCGGTACATGCGTGAAACAGTTATTGTTTTCATTATTGCTAAATCAGAAAGTAGCCTTGCAGGGAAACACCTGCAGGATTCCAGGTTTTGTCTGGATTAAAAGTGAAAGCATCACTTCTCACTGCCTTGAAAGCTGTTTACTTCTTTACCCAGAACGTTCTCCAGATCACCAAAATTCCTTGGTGTTTTTCGTGGCCTGCCGCACATTCACATGGACCAGTTTTTATTTACTAGTTTCCAACATCTTATGGATTTTTAGAGTTTCCAGTCTTGCCCAATCACAGCTTTAGTCCACTCTCCCATGCTAATGAAAATATCAGAGTGCTTTTTTGGCTGTCGGCCCTGATTTCTATTTGTCACCTGATACACTGCATTTTTAAATCCAGCCACCATGGGAATTAATTCCAGCATTTCAGGGATACCCACACCATGGGAATCATCACTCAGAAGTAAATAACCGAAAACCACTTTGCCTTGAAACGATGCAGTTTGGATGTGTGAGCGAGACTAGACAACAAGACATTGTGATATTTTAGTGAAACATACTTTTTTTTCCCATTGCTGCTCTTCGTTTTAACGTTGATCCTCCTCAGATGGAGAAAAGATCAGAGTTTACTCGTTCTGAGCGAGAAGCTGTGATTCTTGCTGCAGATCAGTGTGCTCTGTGTTTGCTCTGGATTCACTAGGATCCACCTGCCAAGGGCCTTTGTCTGACACATGGGACTGTCATTATGATCTGAAATGGCCCCATCTTAGTGACACAAACCTCACAAAATCACCCCATTAGCTATCATCTATAGACTGAATCTTGTGAAAATGGTAAAATCAATAGTGGATCATTGTTTGACTGAAGCACTCACACCCATTTGCTTGAGATCTGAACTCGACATAAATCTACTCCTCACTTATTCATTTTCAATACATTTTCAATACATTTCAGTGTTTTTTTGTTTTTAATAAATAGCATTAACATGCAAAGTGTAACTCAATTCAGAACGATAAAACCGTGCTGGTGAGACCTGCCTACTTTCCCCTTGTTTTTCCTCTTTCTCTCTTAAAATGAATCCAAACTGCAGCTACGGTCTCCAGAAGCCCGTTCGTGGGTCCCTCAGCCCACCGTGTGAACATACCTTCATGCGCTCTTGTCTGCTCGCAATAATTGTTCTCCAAAAACCCAGAAACGGGACTCCACACCATAAATCAATGCACTCCACTGTCTGTCACAGGCGCTCCTGCTCTCAGGCGAGCGTGAACAACAGAAGCTCACTGACGAGGCGCCCA